TGGTCTTCCATGAGAAGTCTGATTACCCTTTAGGTACTCTCAATACTTCTGAAATGAACATTTTCACAGCCATTTTTAAACTCCCTAGCAAATTTCAGCACTTAACCCGCCATCATTGCATCAGGGTTAAAACTTCAGTCATCTGGCAATCAGCATCGGATGTGTTTCTTGTGGTAACAAACGTATCACTGACCTTATCTCACACGCTGCGAGAGATTCGATAGTTAATTTTTTTTTTAAACACAGCAAGGCATACATGTTAGCTAAAGAGCTGCAAATTGTGTCATTCTGTTCACAAATGATGCCAAAAAGTGGCGATGAGATGAGCCTCTTTGCGGCGTAAAAGAACTAATTTATCCAAAAAAAACGGCCCTTACTTAAGTAACTGCCCTCGTATTATTATTTAACATAGTTTGTATATTCCCATAGTGGATAGTAATGATCTTTATGCTAGTAGTAAAGTAACAACATAAACAAACATAGTAAACAACAAAGTTTGAACTACATATGCAATATATTGTTTATATTGTTGATTGCAGGCTGATGCACTTGAAGTAGTCAGGTGTTAAATTAAATAAATACATCCGTTTTATTATGGTTAACAGATTTTAAGCCACAAGTGATATATGCACAACTTTAACAGTCATTACAGAAAAGGCAGATTCTCTTATTTATCACCCAAATAAAGTAGCTTTATGTTTGATTTCCTTGTGTGCTACAATCCCCAAATCAAATAAAAAAACTACAAATAGCCTGCATTCAACAAGGTAACAATATAATATATTATTTAAGATTTCCTAATTATCTATTTAAATTAAGGTAACATTCACCACAAAACATGTAAAAACATGTTCAAACTAATTAACAAAAGAAAACAGTAACATTTGGACCATTAAAGTTTGAGCAAGACACGTCAAGTTTTTGTTCTCGCTACAGTTTAGATGGACCTTTGGTGACTTGGATTCGGGACATAATTTTTATTCCTTAGCAGAAAATATTCAACATTAATGAGACCAGGACAGATAAGAAAATTGGATCCATGGAACAGTTTGAATCATTACTTTTGACTTAATTATTTTGGTCACCATTAGTTTTGTCCGCAAACTAAAACTGGACAGCAACATCAAATTAGCACCACTAGCAATACAACTGGGTGCAATGCTAAAGTACAACTGGCAAGAATAAAAACAACAGATGAATTAACACTAGCTGAATATCCACAAAATATCACCATCAAAATGCCAATTTTCATTTTAGAAAAGATAAGATGGTTCATCTAGAAGTAGAAGATCTGTTCAATTAGGCCATTAATGTGTTTCCTACCAATTTTGTCGACCACGTCGCAGGAGCGATGCTAGTGGGACATCATCAAGTAAGTAAGTATCTCCATTGGGTTAGTAATAGACTAAAAGTTATAGGATTTGTTTTTAAATTTTCAATGCACACTTGCACAATTTACATTGCAAATTATTTAAATACATTCAAATATTTTCTGCTTGGGGATAAATATAGAAGTGGATTGGGTAGTGTTAAAAATGTAATAAAACTCTCTTCCTGTTGCTTTCCTTTTTTAAGGTAAATACTTTTAGTTCATTCAAAAGATGTTGGATCATAAATTAACACACGGTAGGGTTATAAAGTCATAAAAATTGTATGCGATTTTAATATTTTCAACCTCAGACAACCTGTTAATAATTGTTCTGATTGAGTATACTTCTTAACTGTTTTTCTTATGGAATCTTATACCCAATCCACCTCTACAGAAAACTACTTTCTAGTTTTCTAACTAACCTTTAAAATATCAATGGTTGTGGTTCCGTAACTACTGAAGAGATGATTTATCTACTCTTGTAATTTGTTGTTATATGATTACAATGTAAGAGACTTAGTGTTAATTTGTTATTATAACTTTTAATGTGACCAGAATTACCTCATACCTTGTGATTATCATTGTGCAGTAATATTGCTAATCTTAAAATTATGCTGTCTTTTGCCTACATGTTTAAAACAATTGATTCTAAATACCTTAATGTTAAGTAATTTTTTCAATAACCATTTTGGTAGGATATGCAATTCTGGACATTTCATGTAATGTTAATACTTGAGAAATTGGTCAACAAATAAATTTTCTGCAAGGTTTGTAATCGATTGATTTTGATTGAAAGAATATTGTTTTTTAACATTTATCAAAAGAACTTAAGTTTTTACCAAATAAAATTTAAAATTTACAACATTGTCCATCAAGAATATAACAGGAGTTAACTTATGTTAATGGTTAACCGTCTTGACATAATTGCTCAAATGTTCGGAAACACAACCACTGAAGTCAAAGTTCACAGCCATGGTTTGTCAATAAGAGTTAAGTTTGGAAGTAGTGTCATCTTTAGGTCTAAACAGTGGATTTGGATGGTAATTTCATGAGATATTGAAATGTTTTTGCACAAGAATTATTTGAAAGCCTCTGTGAAAACCACTTGTAACCTACTATGTAATTCTTCAGCTATCACACTAGTAAATATTTGGATTTTAAATATGGATTTTAGTAAATATGTGTAATGGTGCAAATTTGTGTAGGGGCGTTACGATACCACCAATCTTCTGATACATATGGTATCGATACCATATGGGAACTGCTGTTTCAGTACCACTAAAATATCGCAACAAAAATATGGATACCGTAAGTATCAAATGAGTACAGTATCAAACAATTTTTTTTAGTTCTGTCCAAGCCAAGAATATTAAGCGATTCTTGGCTAGGAACTAAAAAATGTTATAAAATATACCTGACTCATACAATAATATTTCATGACTCCCATGGATTATTGACAATTGGACTGTTTCCATTTATTAAATTGGTTTGTTGTTATCGATTAAAACTTATGTCTGTATTATGTCTTCCAATAACTTTGAGGCAGTTACCTTTTTTAGGCTGGAATTAAAAATAAATAAATGATGTGAAAATAATAACACAGCTCCTAACGCAAGACTTTTTTCTTCAATTTAGAGTGCTTTTTAATGCTTAGTAAGCACTGCTTCAAAAGTAGATTAGAAGTAATTAACATTATGTTTGGCCAAAGAAAACCGAAGATGTGGAATTAATTCAAGTAGGTTTGAATTCACTACCGTAGCCTTATTTTTAAATTAAGTAGTCTTTGAAAGAAATAAATTTTTCATTTAGTTTCACAAAAATATATACATTTTAGAGAAAAACTACTTTTTATGTGGTACTTTCTTTTGATACCAACACAGCATATTTTTATTTGATACCGATACTACATATTTTCTTCTGATACTGATAAAGCCTTAATTTGTTACAAAGACCGATACCCCCGATACCACTATTATTGATAGTATCGCAATGTCCCTATATGCGTTCTGGAGGTAAATTAATCCTTTTGTTGGAGTAGCAGCTAGTTACAGCTCTAAATCTGAGCAGATTTCAGCCTCAAGTACTCCAAGTAAATCATTCCCAGTTTTTTCTTTTAGAATTTCATCAATCGATACAAAGGGTAATTTTTAGCTTTATTGTGCTCATAATGAGGTGCTTGCATTAAGTTAAGAGTGTCATTTGAGAAGACTTCGTAAAAATAATATTTATCTAATTCTACTGAAATCTGTCAACATTGGTAAAATGTAATCTTATCAGACCATTCTTTTGATCTACTATACAAGAGGCATTTCCACTGAATTGAGGGAATGTATACACATTGTTTGGAATTTTAATAAAATCATTAATTATATAGATTTATAATCCACAATCTTCTGCATGAAATTACCACCCTTAAAAACCTAGCAACTTAATTGTTTTTTATGCAACCTAATATGTTGAAGACCTACAATATGAGGAAATATAGTCTACCAATGTTGTAAAGAAACTAAACTTTACATACTAGACTATTACTTGTAAATTTGTGCTGGACATGGAAGGTAAAAAATGGAAGTTTTTTGGGATAAATATAATGGAGGGGCCTTATACCTAAATAATAATCTATGTTTAAAGAGATTATATCTAAATGATAACTTAAGTTGGAAGGATTTGTAATTCAGATAATTTAAAATTGTATAAGGTACATTTTATAGGTTATATATTAGAAGGATCTACATCTAAAATCATCTACATTAACTTTATTGTTTACAACTGCTTCATTGATTTTAAAAACTGAAGTGGAACCATGGTAGTTGTAACCAACAGGTCCTAGTGTTTTTATAGAGATGAAAGAAAGTGCAGTCTTAAGATACTATTAGTATTAATAATTTTGTTCATCTCAATCAACATAGAAATTTTAATTTAAACATGTGTACAGTTAAAGGATGAATTCTTTATAATTTTGATTCTCATCTTTCTCGACTTGTTTAAAACTTTGATAACATTATCGAAAGTTATTATTAATAATTTATAATTGTTTGTTACAGAGATTAATTATTATTTTTGTCAGTAAATGATGACTTAATTTATATAATTAGCTAAAATTGAAGTTAGTTAAATTGTTATGGTAATGATGTCGAAATACTTATAGGGTTATAGCAACATCTGAAAATTCTATTTGTAATTTTAGCTATTATAACTGACCCAAATAAAGAAAATATAAACATTTATTATAAAATACCAATAGCTTTGTTTATTAATTAATGACTGTAAAGCTAAATTTGTTTATCAATATATTTATGGTTATGGTAATTTTTTTTTTTTTATTAAATTAATTGTACTTGAATATTTTGAAACACAACCAAATTAATTAGTATTTAATATTAGGATTGGATAATTTTTCGCCCCAACATTTACATTTCAAAATTACATTACTCTTTAACATTCAAGTTTTAAGCTAAATAATTGTCAAATAGTTTGATTAAATCAAACACTGAAAGATTAGTTACATTTGATACTTTCTGTGATAATGCTACTAAAAGATAGAGTGGTTAGTACTTAAAATTAATCAGTAAGGAATCTGAAATGTGATTATGATAACTTGTCTTTAGGAATATCACATTCATAGAGTCACAATAACAAGTGGGAACAATACACATTGTAAAGCAATTCTGTATTGTGAGCCATGAAAACTGTGTAGTGGAAAATAATTTATAATATGTAAAAAATCACATATCAAGTATTTCCATTCTTAATTCTACTGGAAACCATAACAAACAAATTGTGATTAGATAATTCACATGGTTTGACAATGCAGACTCATATAAACTATGCCTTGTATACAACTATTGTTGAAAGAAAATCAAAACTTGGAATCTAAAATGTATCTTCTCCAAAGATAAATACTCGTTATTTGTGCTGCAGTATAAGCAAGCTTGGCGATAAGCTATTCATGTTTTGCACCAAACCAAATATTTTTCTTTAAAGATTACTTTTCTTTGTATTTTAAGTACCTATTTAACTATTTTATTTTACAAATAATAATCTGTGTATATACGTTTTTCAGAAGTAACTAGTTGGCCATAAACTGATATTGTGACCCAGCATTTGATGTCTTCTTGAATCAATCTCAAATAATACTGTGTCACATAAGTAGAACATTAAGGTAAATTTGTTGTGTGCCTCATCAGTTGTTTGACAAAATGGAATTTACACATGTGACCTGATCGAAGTTAGTTTACAAGTAATACCCAGTTTAGGCATTGTTACCCAGTTAACATGTGAATTTTATACTATTTAAACCATAGGCATATTGTAAAACCCAAATAGTCTTACAATTGAATTCCCATCCATTATAAATGTCGTTTAAAATATATATAAAACCTGACAAGAAACATAAACTCTTGTAAATTATCATTCATTACAAGCTATATTCAATAAGTTTGATGCAAATGTAATACAAATTGTGAAGTACATGTAAACTGTGGCAAGCAAGTGTTCATTTGTGGGATGTATCTAGACATTTTCATTTGTTATATTTTTACCATTTCAGAAATGTTCAATATTTTAAAAAGTACAACAATTAGGGTTCACCCAGTTTCGAAAATTATGATTATATTAAAACTGAATATTTTAAAGGTGCCTGTTTAAGCTTGTTTCTTTGTCCTCTATGTTTATCGGAAGTATTAGGTCAAAATCACCATTTGAACAGTAGAAAAACCTGTGTACGTTTGCTTTGGACCCCAAGTTTTAAAATTACAAACAGTTTCAGACTTTAACTGATACTCTTGCTACAGAACTTTGTCGATGTGGTAAATTCATAGCCAAACCCCATATTCAAACAGTAGTATTTCACAATTTGTATCCAGTTGTGTCGGTGAATCAGCTGATCAATTTGAGCGGGTCCGGACGAACAACGAATGTCAGTACAAAACACTAAAAGGAACTTGTCTGCAGTGGACATTGGCAAGCAGAGAGCAGAGCAGCTTGTACAGACACCTCTAGACAGTCTGTTGGTGATGGTCGTTGGGAACACTCCCTCTGTTGCTGCGTGGTCCAGGTGTCTGTGGTCCGGGTGTCTGAGGTCCGGGTGTCTGAGGTCCGGGTGTTTGAGGTCCGGGGGTCTGGGGTGTGTCGTGAGGTACAACATCCAGACTGGATCTGGGCTGCTTACCTGCTTCCAGCCCCGACACTCCTGAAAATCAAATATTCAATGTACTGTATCTTTTAATGAGGTTAAAACATGGGTGTTTGTTAAATTTGTGTAGTTATACTACTACTAATTAATAAGTATTGCTACAATTTTGATAAATGCACCAGCCTAGTTTAACTGGGATGGGTGGCGTCGTCCTGTAATCCAGCTACTAGGAGGTTACGAATTGTGGATATTTATAAACATGCACTGTGGATGCGATACTCTCTGGTCTGGATTACGTCCGCACGAGTGAGTACTACGACTATCCGCAGTTCTATCCTGATAATTAGACCAATTCGTATATACCAAGGCAAAAATGTGGTTCGGATTCCACTATAAACGGTAGGTCCCTTAGTTGCCATTAGCTGTATGGGCCATTAATTAACAGCTGTTTCTAAGGCCTTAGTCACTTAAGAGACTACAAGATCGCGCCACTCATCCTACACTCATCTCCATTTATACTTGGCTTAAAATACCTACTTGTATTGTCGCCATTTCATTGAAAAGTATAAAAGTATAGTTTTAGAGTTTTTGATAATATGGTAGGATTGTTTCAATTTGAATGGCGAGCAAAATGTGCATGTACAAATACCTCTTCCACTACCACCGTCAATTTTGTTTTTTGTACAATATTCTCAACAATCAATTGCTGCAGGAAAAAGTAATTTAAAACCGATATAGCGTCTAGTGCTCAGTGCCTTTCCCTCATCCCTCCCAAATACCATCGTAATTGATGCCATGATTAATTTTGTGAAATCTCCTAACACAATGAACCAATCTGTGTTCCTTTTGACCCTGATTTATGTCCACAATGAGGACCTCAGACCCACAGAATCAAGGTATATGTTGTGTCAATAAAAATGGCAACCGAAGACATTAATCTATGGACCAGCTGTAGCAATCTTTTAAATTAATACTGAACATAGTTGAATGAACTCCTCACAAAGTGCGCTCAAGTTTAAATACATTTCCCTCCAATTTTTATTACTGTTGTTGTTGCGTGACATAAAAGTTCCTATAGTAAAAGTGAGTTGCCCTTTTTAGTTTATGTTGTTTGAAAAGTGGTTGTATTCAACATAAATCAGAAAGTTACATCATTGCACACAATTAGTGACAGATTCAATCACCTTATTCCACAATAAAAACTGGCTACAACTGTTACATGATAATGTTTTGTTCTATACTTAGTCAAAATAATTATATACCATCACCATCAGTGAGTAACCAACATTAGTGGAGTCAACTGACCTTTTCTGATCCGACGTCTGTGGCGGCGTTTGATGGCCCAAGGTAGCACGCAGCACCGCACCATGGCCAGCACGATGCCGAACAGCAGTAGGAATGCGCCGGAACCTAGCAGCAGGAAGCGGTGCTGCGAGGCGTCTGCACCGGGCTTGAGCTGCACCAGGCCAACTATCAGCAGCACAGCAGCCAGGAGCAATGAGACTACGACGATGTGAAGCACAGAGACCTACAGCCAATAATGTTTGATTATTTATAATCCTGATCGGACATGATCACGACAAGCATCTAGGTCCCGTTACACCCACCAGTGTAAAGAAATTATAGATATTATACGAAATACAACTATTTAATCAATTTAACTAAACAGTTTCGCTCACAACTATCAACATCTATTACAGTAAAATGTTTCATTAGTAAAAATGTGGACATTACACATATCCTTTCTATCGATATTTTTCCTGTGTTTGCTTGCTAATGTCATCTGGTGAACCCACAGTTCTGGTAGAACCCAACCTTGAACCTAAACTAATCAACATTTTCTCAAAGCCAGATCAATTCAGGCAGAAATAATCCTGCGTGAATCTATACGATTAGCAGATGTAACTTTTTAAAGACTTGCCTGCTCTGAGAGAATTGCACAAATAGTCAACACCATGGCCCTTATGAGGTTTGTTTTCTTAAATTTTGTACATTATAAGAATAAGAATAAGAAAGTTTATTGCCATTGACCAAGTTGTACATGGAATAAGCATTGTCAAATTACATTAAATAAAATATTATTACTAAACATGTTCATATCTAAAGGTACCATAACAAAGATTGAGAATAACGATTGAGAATTCTTAATTTATAGTATGAAAGATTCCGCTTTCATACTATAAATTAAACATAACATTTAACATAGTTATGAAAAGCATTGTTTTCAAGCAAGTGAAGCAATAGTTCTACATTCAACTATCTCAAAACATTGCCAGAAGTAGTTGTTTGTGTGTTTCGGGCGTTTATTCATTTTCAACAAATATCAGGCAGTTTTAGAGAATGCATTCTGAAATTTTCCTTAATATGACACTCTTATGCGAAATAGGTATTTTCTTGTAAAACAAGAAAAAAAAATTGGTTATCCTTCTATATAATAAATTTGTTATAACCTTATTCAGCTGAGTAAATAAAATATGTAAAATACTCTGTACCTATTCCATCAGTGGTTGTTTCCAAATTAAGACTTAACTGTAAACTTAAGACTTTCTCTGTATTATTTTATCAGTGGTCATCGTCCAATTTTTTCCTACTGTGTTTAGGTCGTGGCTTGATTTGAACATATCCTATGATTCTTTGTTTTGTTTACATTTACTTTGTAACCATCATGGCAACCCATAAGGCCAAATATAGGCATTATCAAAAATTGAAATTGTTTTTTTCTAAACCAAACATTTGACAAAACAACCTTGGTAAGTTTGGCTAAAATATATTCAGCCGTTTTTTGAGTTAATGTGTTAGAATGTTTGCATTGAAGTCGATCCCAAAGAGCTTTGGTTCGCTCTGCTCAATTAATTAAATCTATTTCTAGAAAATTGCATCTCCACCACACATTATTACTTTCTCACCTTGCCACAGACATATATCTCTGGCGGGGGCTCACTGCAGGGTACGGACGGGGGGCTTTGCAGGGGGCTGGGTGTGGGGGAGCGGCTTGGCGGAGACTGTAGGTACAACAGACTCGGTCGCTTGGTTCTCTTCTCCTGGCGCCGTCTCTCGTGGCGCACGGCGACCGCGGGCATTGCACCGATCATGTTGCTACCTTGGCCTGGAACAGAGATTACATGATCAATATGATGATTAAAAAAAAATAAATCTTATCAGTTATGATCTTAAAACATTTATTACATTGATACAGATGAAACTGGAGGAAGAATACACTGTGACCTATATGATCTACTGTTTTTTTCGCCGCCTGGAGCACCTACTCTAACCCATTGTAAAATTTAGAGTCTTGTGGGAAAATCCCTATTTGCTACCTGTACCTGATAAATTTCTAAACAGCTATCTTTAACCCAAATGCATCAAAACCAACATATGGAAGTTAAAAATATTCCATTGTGTTGAGGCTGAACAAACCGTATGTGTATATACATTGGCTTTTATTTATTTTATTTTCTTTTGTATTTTTTGAATATCTAAACCTGTGGCATTTAACAGGTTTTTGTAAAGGAACCATCAACACCTTGATCTTGTTAGGCCGTTAATTGTACCCAATGACTAACAAAAACTAACAAAAAAATTATGTATTTATTTTCTTAGAATTTTAACCTATTAAATAACTTTTTCATGGCTTGGCACCCTAGTTATGGACCACTTTGTACCGCTCTGGAGTGCCCAATGACAAATGGCATCTGGGTCTGGAAACAATCTTGCTTAGAATCAACCAGCTCTTTGCAGCTATAATCATAATCTAATTCATAATTAATCATAATTATATCATAATTAATGAGTATTTAAGATTGTTGTTGGATAAAAATTCTCTACCAGAGGTTTAGTTCTTATACTTATGTCGAATTGGAACTGACCGATTTATTTGTATTCATGTGTACAGTACTTATTGGCTTACCTTTGCAATTAGGTTTTTTATTAGGGAAAGGTTCAAATCCAAACCTGGTCTTGTCACTATCTACTTTCCCTTTGGTTAGGAAGCATCCTCAATGGACAACCCAATGGCATTGTTGGGTTCAGGATTGATTGCTTGGAATCAAACCCTGACTTTCAGAATCAGCGACTTTCAGATTTGAAGGTATATGCACTATAACCACTCGGATATCCACAAAACAATACTCATTGTACTGACCTAGTGCTCTTTTGTCGTCAGGTTGCAGAAACTAAGTAGAAATATACCTCTGATCACTGGACATGGTAAATCCAAGAACCATTACGTACGGAACTCAGGGAATTGCACATTACAGCTAAATAGTGTTGATTCTTTAATAAGTCTGTCAATTATCTATCAATAATTATAAATTATTTGAGATGGGGATGCCAGTGGGACGCCACCTAGGAGCGTATTTTAACCTAAATATGAGTAAAGGATGAGTGTAGAATGTTGTGAAATGATCTGTGACTGCCAAACATATGATATATTGCTACTAGTATTAGAACCTAGCGATTTTGGCTTCAAATACATTTTTAGATCAAAGGTGAAACTAAACAGCAATATCATTATTCTGGATTGGCATTATTTTAAGCAAGGAAAATGGAAAATTTTGGCCTTTGACCACCAGCAGAGTATTAAAAAAAAAAAAAAAAACTCTTGGACCACATAAAAGTTGTTAGTATTGGCTTACCTTTGTGGTTAGTCACACCAAGCTTTGATTCAAACTGTATTCATGAATGCAACCCTGTCTCCACCATTAACCAGTTCGTTTAGTTTCTATGGATGTTGCATTCTGTATCTTAGATAAATGCATTATCAAGCCACAAAGTTCCGTCAAGCCAAATGATTCATTTGTAAAGGCATGCAGAATCAAAGCTGGAAATTGTCAAAATTTGTTGTGTTCTTTACAACAATTGCATTTTTAGGTGTAGATCCACCTAGATGATGGTTAACCTTTTTTCCTCATTATCAGTATGTGACTGATTTTAAGAGGTCCACTTGCATTAAGCTAACAAAAAGTATGAGTAACTCCACTAACTAATTCTGGGTGCAACAACTTGTAAAAAATTCAATAAACCTTATTTTTGAAGCCCTTTTTTTCTCCAGACCCCCTCTCTCCTGGACTTTACAAACCCCCTGAGGAGTAGCCTTCTCCTATACAATTTCCTGAGGCACTCTAGGGTAATACTTCCTCTTTAGCAACAGTTAGAATTTGATATCATATACATTTTTTATCAAGCATACTGGTTACTGAAGTAGGCTATCGTATTTCCACAAAGTTCAGGGCTTATACCAAATGTACCTGTAAAATAAATTCTTTGAAAATACTACATGTACTTTGGGAATGCAAAATGCAATTTCCTAATAAACATTTTCTTTGTAGAGTGTTCTGTTGTTAACTACTGTTTTCAAATAAAAATCAAATAAATTCCTCCATTATAACTGGTGTATTTATGAAGTTTCAAATCATTTTAATGTATTCACTGGATTGACGAGAGTGTCTTTAGCCATTAAAATAGGGCCTCCTTTTTGTAAATAAAATGTAGGACTTTCAAACCCCCAATTTTGTGCGATTGTTGTCAAGTTTTCTCCCAATGTTTATCACATACGTCATATATGAAATAAGGAACAGCTGTTTGGATCAAGATTATTTTTCCTAGCTGTCACTGATATTATGTTTACATTAAATGTTCTTTACAAATACCGCAACCATTTCCGTCTTGAAAGCAAATCCAAACCAAGTGAGGTTAAAAACGTTATTCTTTAGATAACGGATTAGTGCAATAAGGTGTAACACTAAATGAAATTAAATAACTAGGTATCATCCAGGTCATGAACCGGATATTATTTGTGTATCAAATTGTTCTTGAGTTTTATGGTAACCGGAAAAAGACCTTGAATCGGTGTTGTATATGGTTGGGAAACTTACATTTTTTTTAATCAGCGTCGCCAATAGCTTACGATAATTATGGTTTCTACTCATTGACGGTGCTTCAATGGCGGTTGTGTACGTGTAAAGTAAATAATCACAACTGCAGTAAGTTATTGTAACAGAGGTTTACAGATTATGCCCAACTCGCTTTTCCAATGTGTCTACTCACCGCTATGTGCTGCAATCGCTGTACCATACAGAGTCAATAGGCGAATTACCCATCTCTTGGGTACGTAGGCCTAACCAATTATTCATAACCAAATTTCGATGACGATCCTTGATACCGGTACTTTTCCCTAGAATACATGGCCTTCCTACTTAGGAAATAAAATTACAAACGTCCAAAAATCCAACCTGTCCTTATTTCTCAGCGTTTCACGGAAAAGACAAGAGCATCTTTATTAATGAAAATATCAACCAGAATAAAGTGTTTAATGGTGAGCTTGATAAAGTATTTTAACTACTTTTAACCAGTGTGGAAAGTAACTTTGCTATTATAGGCCTACCTCCAGAGCTATATTGCCTCATAGATCTATAAAATATTTTTTGAGTGTAATCATTGGATATAACATGGACCAACACGATCCGGGTTACATTTAATTGCGAAGCATTTGTTTTGGCTTGAAACTATCAGATATTGTATTTGCGAAGGTTTATAAAAATGTCCTATAATTGTTTTACCAGCATATCTGAAAATATAGGTACAAACCAGCAACTGCTGTTCTGAATATACGAAGGTTTCAACTGACTACAAGATTAGATCCCCCGTGCGTAGAACGGGCGCACAGCTAGTCTAAAATAGTACAGAAATAATTATTACAAACCGTACAGTACAAAAGGAAAGAACAATAGTATTACTATCGTTGAGCCTAATTTACTACAAAGTGAATAACCAATAATTAGGGTAGGATTTAGGATAACTAGTTAAACACCCGTGCTCCGCCACGGGAATATTGTCAGCAATAAAATAAATAATAATTAACAAATACTGTTTATCTTTGTATTTTATTTAGGGGTTGTTGTGTAAATAATAATAAATAAAAAGGACAAAATCAAGTTTAATTAAAGTTCAGCCCATTTTGGCATACATACATAAACACAGACTCATTGCTAATTATTCCTCTTTTCCTAGTTGGCAATCCTGCCAGTGACGTAGCATTACCTACTCCTTTTTCCTCTTATCTCTTCTTCATGTCAATGTCAATCTACATTCCCGCCCGCTACCGCTTATCACGCACCAGTTTGTGCCTTGAACTTTCTTTATACCGTGATCGGTTTTAAACTCAATAATTATCGTGTCTCGCCTCCGGGATTCTTTTTGTGTCCGTGAAAGACGTTATCCACTACGGCAGGATGATCTTCGCTGGACCAAGGGGCCCCTGAGAATTCTACACTCCACACTCCAGGCCGCCGACCACGCGGCGGAGAAGAAAGGATCGGTCGTGAGTGATACTTCAATTTTACTATTAGATAAGACTTCATTAATTATTTTCTTTCAAGTTTCAGATGTGTCATTTTACTGCTCAATTATTCCAACGTCATGATATAATACAGTCCACTAATTAAATAACACGTAACTAATTCAATTCTCAAACAATCCATAACAGGGGTTGTTTAATTTTTTACATGAAATAGAACTGATAGTTTGCCTGTATAAACAATTTTATGTTAATAAACCGATAATATATTATTTTAACTAAATAAATGTTTTATATTAATAATTTGAGTTTCATTTGAAAAATAAATAGTATACGAACTGGGCAATGCTGATAACCTAATAAGCAGCTATTTATGATATTTAGATAATTTGCTCAAGTATATTCCTATATTCGTCGTTTTTTTTCATTACATTTGTTGTATGGAATAAAGATAGTCACTTAGAATTCATATAAATCACGCATCAGCAGATGGTCGCATTTCACGAATATTTGACCCATACTGTGAGTAAAAGCTGTGTTTACGTCGTATATATAAAGTTGGGCATACTTTGTTCAATGTTAGAGGGTATTAACGGTCCAATTTGATGGAAAAGGAGTCGTGGATTTTAAAACTATGTAGACTACCACTACCAGAAAGATGTTGATTCAAGTGAGACTTAGAACTGCCCATTTCAAATGCAGATTTGTATTATATTTTACTCAAATAGTTTTTGTCTCTTTTGACCCTTAATACTTTCTTTATAGTCGCTGTTGGTAAGATTTTCCATAAACTCAAAATGTTCATAAGGAGTTCATTTCACCTTCCCCTTGTGACAACATAAGGAAAAAATATTTGTGTCCCAGTTATTCTGTTCTGACTCAAAATTCATAGATTTTCAGTACTGACAAATCCAATCTAACGACCCTAATTCAAAAAAATTGGTATTTTTTAGAAGGGACTTCCAGAGCACATTTAACACCATCACTGCTCTTTACCTTTTTAGTTCGATGGTTCTCTACATGTTTTTTTCGTTCTGTATGTCTCTTTACGCCCGGTTAATGATTACCTTTTATTTTTATTTTTGTATTTTTCACATCCTGGAGTTAATGATAAAGTTTTATAACACTATAATGACCCGAGTCAACATTGCCATTAAACATCAAGTCAGATACTTCTTCGCCAGAACCGAAATCGTAAGTCACAGTTTCTCAAGCAACTTCCCTGTGTAGGCCTACTCGAAAAAATATAGTTACGGTATAGTTCACTGATAAATTGTAGTTCCAAATATCCCAGCGTACTCGCCATCTCGAGAAGGTAAAGTTTTGTACCACTGAACGTCTAACACTGATCTTGAGTAAGATTAATTACTTAGGTACGATAAAATGTTTGTATGTTTACCAATCATTAGCAATTATCTGTACAACTTGCAAGCGGATTTCCCTATGATTGTTCTGGTGGCTATAGAGAATAAATTATATTGATCAAAACAATAAGTTTCCGTCACCTACTATGGGTATTATTTCACATTCCATACTCAAACTTAAACTCAATTAACACTTTCCTTCAGATCACTTTGCAGGAAAACTAAAACATTTCAAAAATAAGTTAACAAATACACTTTCCTTGATCAAAATCGTGTGTTTATCACTGAGCTATAATTCTAACTGGAGGTAGCACTGAATGTCAACGATGCGTGTCGCCAGCCGCCATGTTTGCGTGAGGTGTGAGTTATAAATAAGCCATTTTATTGGATGAAAAAACTTACTGCTATGCAAACCTAGTTATAGAAGCCATGTTATTGGATGAAAAAACCTGCTGCTATACCAACCTAATAAAATCAGCGACACGCTTTTGACAGACTTCTGCCATGGCAGTGCTACCTCCAGTTATAATTTTAGCTCAGTGGTGTTTATAAACAGAAACTCCAAGTTTAATAATTGCATACTGAAAGTGAGGTTATAAAAATAATAACAAATGTCTGACAAACATTAAACAGGTGACGAATAATTTATAAACTGTGTATTATATTCTTCAATAAGAATTGTATTGACTCGAACTTTAAAGGGCTGTAGGTCGTAGCCCTTAGAAAAAACGTAAATTCTAAGGAAGTTCGGCAAATCTACACACTATCCCCTTTAATTTGAGACATAAATCTTGTAGATCGGTCCAGTAATTACTGAGAAAACAGTGTTACAACTGTGTATTAAATATATAGATGATAATGCACCATTTACTTTAAATACTCAAATAGCCATTCCATTTATGTGAACCAAATATACCGTTGAGTTTTGATACTTAAAGGTACACATTTAATTTATGTGAACCAGAACAACAATTAACTTTAAATACTGCAAGTACATAATTCATTTACATGAACCAAATACACCATCGAGTTTGGAAACTGCAAGTAGATATTTTTTATTTACGTGAACTAGGCGCATCATTGACTTTAGATACTACGGGCAGAGATCTCATTTACGAGATACAGATGTAGCATTGACATTGGGTACTGCAAGTAGACATTTAATTTATGAAAACTAGATGAAACATTGAATTTGGTCACTGCAAGAAGACCATTCACGTGAACCAGACTGTTCAATCTCCTAACCAACTGTATTTAAAGTAACACATGATTGTGATAATAATTATTTAGAATGTTTGTTTGTCAAAATAAAATCAAAAACAGTTAATCAATGTATGTTTACAGTTCTTACAAACAAGTCATGTTAATTCTTTCATGTTAAATAAGGTTTAATTTGTATGTGATTTATTGCATTTTCATACAAAAGACCGGCATTGTATACAGACTTATATAACTGACTTTGGATGCTGCAGATAGACATTTTGTTTATGTGAACCATTTATGTGATAGGTACCATTGACTTTGGATACTGTAAGTACATTTATCATTCTGTGAATTACATGTTCCATTGACTTTAGATACTGCAAGTATGGATCTCATTTCCGAGAAAAATATGTAGCATTGGCTTTGAAAAAGTATTGGATGAAAATGCTAGCTCCGCTCAATATTGAAAGCAGAGAACTGCATTGTACACCTAGTGTAATATTTAGCTTAATCAGTTTTTGCATGATGGGAAGACAAACAGACTAAATGTTTTTATTAGTAAACATTTTAACCAGTGATTTGTCTCTAAAAGAAACAGATTAAAAGTAACTCATTGAAGCCAGTAATGCACTGGAGTATCAGACGACTGAACATAGAAACTTGGGTACAAATAATAGAACGGTGACTTTCTTAATTTAGTTTAATGAAATACAGCATACACAATATTTATAAAACTTTAGAAAAATTGAACTCTGACTTGTATCAATTCTTAACTTGAACCTAATATTAACTACAGAGAACAGTCAAACACATAAACTGAGTAAATAAACTAGAATACCCTACCATAGAGCAACGAAAAACTAAAAAACAAATGGAATATAAATGCAAAATTGTAATCTTATAATATTGATTAATACTTTATATACATATTTAGCTGAATTCAAAATCCATGTTAAAATATGGTTACTACACTGAGCTATGATTAAACAACTACATGTAAAGTAAATCAATACAAAAGAGTTGCATAAACTAAACTCATTGAGACTAATTAATAAAGAAAATAAACATGTACATTACATATCACAGTGTTATGATTAGATCGTTACATAAAAGTGCAAAACAACTTTCACATTTACGATGTAAAAGTGCAAAAATCCACAACCATTACCCACAGAATATAAGGCGTTAAAACATGGATGTAAAACATTGAAAAAACACCTAACATTTTTAAACCACATGAAAATAGAAGGGTGAAGTTAAAGCCTTAGTGTAATGCAGATACATACATGGTTCAGTCTTAAGCTAAAGCAGGGAATAAGGAAAATACTTCTACATAGGATTTGTCCGAAGAAATTTGTGAGAATAAAAGGAATTACATCACAAATTAAAAACTCATCTCAACTCTCAATAACCTGTACCTCCATTGCACATAAGTACAGTGATGTGACATGTGAGCTGCTTAACTGTGAAATATAAGCAATTATTGTGATGCATGTACATTTACAAAAAATTAATATTTAATCTAATTTCCAACCATAAATTGATGTGTTGCCTAAGCAAATACCGGTACATGAATCACAAAGTGTTTAACTTGTCTGTGATTAAACAAATGATTAAAAATGGCTGTAGGTAAAGAATTTAACTTATTTTAAAAATACAGTATAGGTAAAAATTAAGTATCTTCACATAAGAACATCTATTGAATAGTGTTTGTAAAATAAAACATTATTACAATATATCGATAAATATTAAGAGGTTGTTTCTTCATGGATAAATATTAAATTACCATGAACAATAACATGTAATTTAGTGTTCAATTACATCAAAATTGCAAACACAGCAAAGTAAAAGATGTATTAAAATTAAAACGTACAAAATATTATGGTTATGGGATTCAGTCTTTGGCAACCACCTTACTTAGATTACCAAACATTTAAATTTAAATATTTGTTACTAATTTAAATATATTTGGTATTCAATGGACGGTGGGATTAAGATGTACCAGTTTTCGTTGGTCAAAAACAATCAGAAATTAAAAGTATTTTTAGAGAAATTTGTCCAATTTAAAGAAGCAGTTTTACAATAAAAGCATGTGTTAATAAATCTTTCATACATATCCACAACCAAATTCTCATTAAAACATTCAACTTTAAACACTAATGCTTTGGTCGAGTATTGATAATATACTGTGAATGAGTAAATGTGCGTAAATATATGTACAGGAAAGTGCATATGAAAATATGTAAAGTGTACAGTATAGTGCATTGGCGTCATAGTTGTACAAGCGGCATGGATAAGTTCAATGTTACAACAATATCCTTAATTGATTTCGAGTCTTAAGCTACCCAAATAATCATTCGAACTAGGTGAAATTTACAAAGTTTTTTTTAGTTAAATATCAACAACTTAAAGATTTAATTAGAGCATTAAATGTGTCAGTTGATAGGTTTTATACAGTAGTGTAGTTAATGATACTTGTTATCAAGGTTGACTCCTTATTGAGGATTGCAATAACATGTGATTTGGGGTAAAATAAATTCAAGGGGATTTGAAAATGACACTTGTTATCAAGGGGACTTGTTATCGAGGTCTTGTTATGGAGATTCCACTGTAACTTAAATTCACTCAACAACATAGTTAATAATCAAAATTAAACCTAAGAACATAGAATGAAACTTTCGTAGGCATTCAAAACTAACTTAGGTTGCAATTTAAGTGCTTTTAAGTTGTGTTGAATAGTTTTTTGCAATATCAACAATCAAATAAAAATGAATAAATCTTCTCTTAAACCTAATTGGTAATTCAAATAAATGGTAAAAAGCGATAAATATTTTTAAACAAATAATATGTCAAAAGTTGCAGACCCCTATAATTAAGAAATTTAAATACACGGTAAAATAATAAGAAAACGTTATGTTATAGATTACATAACAATATTTTCTTGATTCATTTGATCATCCAACATGAACGGCAGTATTTCGCAGCAACCTATTTGTAATTTGTTACAGCATTTAAGAAATTGTCACTGACACTTTATAATAACTGTTTAACATAATAGGCCTACCTTTTAAACTTTGTAACAACATATTTGAACAATATTTGGATATAGGTTAACAATGTATTTACATAATAATGAAGTATTATGTACAAAATCTAAATATAATCTTACAATAAGTGGTGTAAGTGTTGTAATTTACTATGAGTTAACAATTATACAAGATGGAGATAAAAACACGTCATAATACTACTAGCATAAAATGATTTATTTAATACGCATCAAGACCAGTACCATATTTACCAGTACCGGTATTATCAAATTATATTTTAGGAGTCAAACATAATTAAATGTTAATAACACGAAATCTTATACTTTTGCAAATATAATATAAGGATTAGTAATTTTTCTTAGTATATAATGATGAAATAAATCTCTTACAACAGGCATTTATTTTGATACAAACATTACTGTAGAAAAATATAATAATAGATTACAAAATATATATACTTATGAATTCAAACCTGTCAATTGGAAATTATGATGACAGTTGTAATACAAAATCAATAATAAATAATAATATAGAGCTAGAGCTTGTATATTTACTTTCTTTAAGTTCACGCTGCTTTCAATGTCTTACAAACTCACTCGCAAATAATGGACTTTCCTAAATAAATATTATAAAATAAGGAAATACTATAAATAAGGAATGAATGTTTTGCAATAGTTATAGGAACATAGCACCTGTCTTTCGGCCTCTGGGGCAATGTAAAAATATATATATTCATTGATAGACTTTTTGTTAAATTCAGTTATATAATTTAAGATAGTATAATAGGCAATGTGTGTCAAAATGTAAAAAAACATACATACATACATAACATTTTATAAAAAAAGTAAATCTGTAACTTTTTTAATGAATGGTCATATTTTAACAAAAGAATCCACTAGCCTTAGTTTGAATGTGGTATTATAACAGAATATACAAATAGTGCATTGTCTGAATACGACAATATCAATTCCTCCCACCTTATTTAATCACCAAAAAGAATTATTTTTGATTGCTTATACTGCATAAAACAACTGATTATTCAAAAGTACCTAAATTTGTATAGTAACTATAAAAATGTATTTTTGATCTGGAAATAAATAGGGATCATAAGTCTCATCTATTAAGATTTCATTAGGGCTTTAAATATTTTTACTTTTTTAACAAATTAACACTTATCTGGTTTTATATTTATTTAACAGATAATACAATAGACCAATTAATGGCTTTCATTCATCAATCAGTAGATCGAAAAGAAAAATCACAATCACATACAACTACAAACACCAATATTAATAATTCCAGGCAATCGTACTAAAGTATAGGACTATGGAGCTACTTGACCACGTTGTAAATCAATTTATTATCAATATTGGCTAGTGTTTCTGCATACTACATTGCCTACTATACTACGTAATTGTAACTTGAAGTCTGGACTATTTACAATGATTAGCGTGTTGTGCTGGTGTGGCGGTCTGGGATTCACTTAGAGTGTATTTAAAATGTCTGAATATCATCCCAGAACATGGTAAATAAACTACTGTACAAAGTAAAACAAGATAGTAACAGAACCTGGTTTTGATCTTTTTGTAGGAAAATAATATGAAAAATGCCACTGAGATAATTACATATATATAGACACACAAATAAAACAGCAAGTCAACAATGTGTATGCAATCCATCTTGAAGATATACAATTCTTACACTTCGTATCACAGATATCATTTCTAAATGATTTACTAACATAGGCTAGTTCATATCAAATTATAAAAAGGACTTTGTATCAAGACAAGATTTTAAAACAATGGAAGTATTCAATCGCCACATCTAAGGCCTCTCTTTAAAATATTAAAATAAAATCAAAATACCATTGCCCTTGTTAACTCAAGTAATGGCCCTTTCTTTAAGGACGAGTTTTCTGATAAAGAAACTATAAAACTCCAAACGTCTAAGTGTGGTGTAAGATAATAAAAAAAAAAACTTTAAAGAACACTGAGTAAGTTTGCTTAGCTTGAATTTTTGCCATTGTATGACAAGACTTCAAGTTACAAGAAACAATAAATCTTAATTTACTATAGAACAATTTGTTACTTGAATAACATATTTTCATAAGAATCAACAACTTCATAACATATGATCTGTTCATTTATTTGTACCTTAGAAGCGTATTGTTTTTTCTCCTGCCAGGAGTCTTCATAGAACCACAGAAAAGTAAGATATCATACTGCTCTGTGATGGAATTGTTGGTAAATTTAATAAACATTGTCATCGTATATTAAGTACTGGTAAAAACAAAACAATACTTGTAAGAAATTAAGTAAAAATATTTCGCCAGAAGTAAAATACATAATATACATAATTTGTACAGATATATAAATAATTATCATAAAAACTATTTAAAGACATGAACTTATCAAATGCTTTCTTTAACCCTATACATGCCGGCCTCTACCTCTGACAAGTTGACAAGCACACTATGCGCGGTTAAATTAAGCTAGGCATGTAATGAAACAAAAGTACTACTACAGTATATTCTATGTGGGTCTACAAGCTATAAAGATTTCGCAAACAAGAAATTCAAAAAGATCCACCGAAGTGATAGTCTGTGCGTTACACTAGATCAGATCTCAGAGATAATTTGTATATTTATAGATGTATTGGATTTCACATCCTGAGGTCTAGAGCTTTCAGCTTCACGAGATGTAGAAAGTTATAGTCTCTTCATGAGATCTGGAAATGAGTACAATTCCTTACAGATGAAGATGAACATTTATCTATGATTGGAATAATTGTTGTATCTTGTTTGTAGAAGTTCTCTGGTATCGTAGTCTGCTCCCGATGAACTATTGTTGGAAAGTGTTTCTTTGTTGAATCTCTCCATGATCCGGTTGTCATCTTCTCCCTTCTCGGAGATCTCTTCCTCTAGTATCCTCTCCAGGTCTGATCTCGGGGTCGAGGCTGACAGTGGAGGTGGCGATCGCAGCGTCGGACTGAAATGGATCGGAGTGATGTCCTCCAGTGTTGTGTTCAATGTTGACATCTTCTCTTCGGCTTCTTTTGCTCTCTGTTCGTGTTTGGTGGTTAAATTTCCAGTTTCCACATCTCTGACCAGTCTATGTCCAGATCGTGTACGGTTCAATTGCCGTTCTACGTAGGCAGTGAGATCGTCCTCCTCTTTTTTTGCTAGGACTGCGTTCAAAATTATCAAGAAAATGCCCAAACCCAGCGCGAAGATTCCAGCGAGTACGATTTCGTTGAAGTACGACCCACCAGGAGGGTTCTTCCAGTGCTCTATGTCGTCGGGAACGAGACCGGAGCCGATGAGAAAAGCTCCAAGAACTAAGAAGACGACACCAATGTGCAGCATCCCTACGGTCGAGACTACTTTGTCGTGAGCTGGAGGAGTTGTCCTAGGTTTCTTCTGCCCTTTTTTCCCCTTGCGGTAGTCCAGACTACCCATACTGTTGCGAGGACTCGCACAAGATGAGCGGCTCTCTCCGAGCCCACTCTCCGTGGACTGTGTGCTGTATCGTCTCTCTCTCGCTTTCTTCTGCTCTTCTCTTCGTTTGCGCTGACGCTTGATGGCTAGTGCCGAATGTAAGCCCATGGAATGCATCCTGAAAAAGAAATCAGCTTTAGTTCACCTTAAACTCATCAGGGTTTGTAATCAAAATAATAACAGTTGGAAAAACATATTTGTATTCGTAATTTTTGAAAGTTAGTAATGCTAAAACAAATGTAATGATTGTTGCAAATTAAAAAGTTAATAATTTAAAATATTTAATGAACAGTCAAACTTGTATGATTGTTAATATATAGATAATATCAATGAAAACAGTTTTAACAATATGTTAAGCCCCGAAAATATGCTACGGAAAACATTACCGATTAATTTTAATTAGGTTTTTTCAACTAGCCTATAACTAATTGAGACAATATAGAGTTTATTAATAAAAAAAATTTAATCAAGGACAGGAATTTCATTTATTTAAATTTTTATTTTATAATTATCATTAATTAGGGTATTTATTAATCTAGTTCATAGCTAAAACAATTATAAATTACAAATCAGTTCTTACTACAGCAAAATGTTAATCACATCCAATTAGCCAAGATTTAATTGATACTTGAACAGCACCTGAAAATCCTGAATTATTTTACTTAACAAGTTGTCAAAGATTTAATTTAACTATTATTTTAAATACAAATTTTCAATTTATATTTCAAGGCAATCTATTTTTTGCAAATAGGCCCATACTTAAGATAAACGTGAAAACCCTGGTTTAAAGGAGAAATAAATAAATAAGGTTCATGAACGAATTTCAGTAACAACACTGCAAAAATGTGTTAGAATAATTCACTCAAGATAACAGAAACCTGCTGACCCTTCAAGAGCTGGCAACAGCTGTTTATAAACATTGTTGTAATTATATTCTCAATTCCCTAAACACTTTCACAATCCAGCTGGTAACGTGGCAATTTGCATGATAATCAAATGACTTTATAATGTTGGCTTAGCTGTGAGTATGTTTGTATGGATTTTTTTACTGATTTAGCTACTTCATTCTTACATAGAAATTATAAACATTGCTTCGGTCCAATTGTGACATGGATTTAAAAATAAACTGACTTATCTACCATAAACAAAATTCCACAGCATATTTAATGCTTCGATACATAAAAGCTTGCAATGATGTAGTTCGGGGTATGAAATAGGTCAATCAATAACCTGATTTATTATTACTAGTTTGATAAACTATAAGTTATCAATAATGGTGAGGAAGCTTTCATATCAATGGGTAATCAAGGTTACGATGTGTTTCAAGAGAGATGTCAAAAATAAACCAATTTATGAGTCAAATTCAATAGTACGGTATTTTATGAAATTTTTTAATATGGAATTTTTAAATATGCTTTTGTGTTCTTTAGATCATTTTATTTGTTTTAACAATTTAATGAGTAAATAAACCCGCAATAATATTTTTTATCTTAAAACTTTTTTAGTTTTTAATACTTGGAAATTAATACAAAACTATTATTTCAACTGTTTTATAGACAAATAAGAGAGTTACTGCATAAATACAGTTCATTTAACTAAATAACAGAAGACAAGTGATATCTTATAAATACATAATTTTATTTGGTTAAAAAGATGTTTAAGTTGGTGAATACGTATGAATTAAAAGGTAGTATATACTTGAAAAATAAACTACTTTTATTAAGGGGAAAATAACTCAAAATTATCCTGATCTATAAGGATGACAAATTTGCAAGGAAGTATGTCACTATCATTGAATATAAGTAGGTGCTATCGTTGAGATTACTACGAGTTCCCCCACAGAAGAAACAAGAACTGTATCATGTATACTATTTCATAGTAGTTGCCCCTGCATTTTATGGAATGCAATGTAGATACTGAGCTGACATTGCCTATCTGTAATGTGCAGGAACTTCCAAGAGCATGTAGATAAGAGTGGATATGTGGACATTCAAGATAAGTTGGCTGCCGAAACATAATTTTTTACTAACAATCTTTATTTAGATAAACAATGAAGTACATGAAAATGCAATAAAACTGTACCTATTTCAAAATGTTGTAAAAAAAAACCAACAAGTTTTGATTGCTTAAATCATGGACATTTTTGGTGTCCAAAAGTTGTTATGAAAAGTGATTCTAGGGGGGAAAATAATTGGGATAAACATTCATATCCAGCCTAAATTTGATAGTTTCTCTATTATTTTAACTATACAGAAATATAGGTAATAGCTGATTTTATACTAAAAGGAAGTGTTAACTGTTGTGTAACAAATGCAATAATCTTATACGTATAACAGTAAAACAAATAAACGTTATCTATATATTAATAGGCAAGCATTTTAATGTTTCTTAATGTTTCTTTAAACCCTTTTTTCTCAGCTCTTGTGCATCGCAGGGAAAATCTACGCATACTGTTAGAAAACTATTTTTTCCTATAGATGTGTAGAATCCCTTTACAAACTAAAATAGGCTCAAAAATAAGCACAACAAATGAATTTTAAACTAAAAAATATTTACATGGGCCTTGTTGCCTTGCTGGTGACTATATGAGAACGAAAAATAAACAGAAAATCAAATATTGAAAGAAATTCCAATCACATGTGCTATTTACAGGATGGGGTGAAAATAGAGAAGTCTGCACAATAAATATTTTTGGTCGAGTTTTTTTTACCACTGGACGACCTCTAGTTTAATATAAACTAGCATGGAAACCCATACGGCCCATGTTAATTTTTAGAGCCTATTTTTGAGCCTATTTTAATTTATAAAGGGATTCTGCACATCTAAAGGAAAATATCTTTCTAACAATATGCGTAGATTTTCCCTGTAATGTACACGAGCTGAGAAAAACAGGTTTTAAAGAAACATGCTTGCCTATAGATGACCTAGTTAGATTTAAAATTCATACATTTGGGAACAAAGAATACACTTAGAACAGTTATACACTATGTTGAAAAATAATTGCAGTAGCTTGAATTTTATATTTTTAAGTCTGGTTGGCAAGGATAACTGATATATTGTGAGGAATTTAGCATTTTCTATTAAAAACTTTAAAATTCAAAAGTATCATTAACCAAATGAACTGAACTATTCGTCCAGTAAAATCGTCGAAATTAAGACCCAAAATAAATATTTATATGCCACGCTACAGAGTGTTAACAAGCTGGTCTTATGTTGCAATGAATCGATGGACTTCACCCTTCAAATTCAGCCCCCTCTCGCACAACCCCATATCGCTTCATCTCAAGTATACAAAACACCACTTGTATTGCTTCTTGCCCTTTTACTAAACCTCTTACGGCTTAGAAAACTATAATGCTGTAAATAAACGTAGCTGTACAAATATTCGTATAAAAATTGATTTTAGTTTAAATTAACAAGCTAATCAAAACCAGCTCGACATGATATTATTGCATTTTATAATTAAAAAAGGTTATTTCAACTTTTAGATCATGTGTGTGTCTGGTCTTAATAAACTTAGTTATATTATTTTTATTTCTATTTTTGATTGCTTCAAAATTGTCATAAGTTACCTAAAGAGAATTAATTGGCCGAATGGAATTTCCATCTTAGGGATAGTTAATAGAGTTTAAAAAGGATATTTCGCATAATTTCCATTCATGGGATTTTAGTTCAATACTATTTGAAAATACCTAACGTTGTTTTAATTCAATTTTTTTAAGTTAATTCTTTTGAAAGTATCAATATTTCAAACATGTTTTTAAGTTTGTGAAATTACAAATTATTTACAAAAAAAAGCAAACAAAATTATTTAAAACTATGCACAAATTGCATATTTTTAATAGCTTCAACTGTAGTCAATGTTTTCAATTTGGTAAATATTACGTTGAAAAGGAAAACCATCTCTCTCATTTATGTTTTATAAGGTTGAGAAATACGTCCGCCCTTTCAGGTTGACGGATTACACGTCGCTTCTTTCACAGTTCAAAAAGAGATAAATTGTTTTTCAACTTGCTTCAACCTCCTTGTTTCTTATCTCAGTGACATACTTCCTTTCAGGACCGATCCCAGATAAGAATGAACAGACAATAAGGGACACGATTTATTGTTATTTTTGGGGATTTCATATGTTACAAAATTGCCAAAGAAGCCAAATATTTACGAGCTTTCAAAATATTAAATAAAGGGTAATATCAAAGCAAAATTATATAAATTATATAACGGCTAAATGGTAAATTAAATGTAGGACTAAATATACCATTTATTCATTTTTATTTATTATTTTTTGCTTGCTTTAGCTGATTATAATAAAATTATAAAAATTATAAGTAGGCTAAAATAAATACACAATTTTTGCTAAATTCATTGAACACTTTCAGGTTATGGCATGCAAATCATGTTCACAATGTACATAAACATATGTGCAGGAATTATAATTTAGTTAACATAATATTATTATGTTGGGTAAATTATAGTTTTTCACGCTACAGTCTGCAAGCAAATTATTTTTCAGAGGAAAAATATGAAGGGATACAAAAGAGACAAATTAACTGTTAATTATTATTGTAAGGACATATACTAGTACTAAACACAAATGAGGATAGAGAATTACAAAAACCAAGTACAGTTGTAATTTGTCAAATACTCTGAAGGCACTGAAAAAAATAACGAGTTCTTTATCTGATTGGCAAGATGTGAAAAGGTTTAAAATATTTTGGATAAGTCAAACATCTTACGTGTCACAAAAAGACAAGTTAAATTTAAAAATACAATCAAAATTGACCTACCGTAGTTTTATATTTTTTTCAAGAGGAAGAAAGCTAGTTCATTATGTTTGTAACATATGTGAAAAGAAATTCAAATTGTCAGTTACAGTTTTAAAACTTTCTAAAATATCTGTTATGTATGTCTCCAAAAATATTCTAGAATGTCAAATCTTAACCAGCTAAAATGATAGCGCCAGAAACAAGATTCTACTGGTTTACAAATGACAGTAGCATTCCTGAATATCTGCAGATCTGGAATTTCATTAGCCATCGTGTGGAAGGGTCAATTGCCTTCCTTCAATTCCCTATGAGTAATCAATGTAAATAAAAATGAAGTTGGTTTAATTAATTTTTTAGTTTAGAAAAATGTGTTAAACGAATTTGTCCTTACAGAAAATTAGTGGGAATGAATATATTTATACATTAGTTTAGAACTTTATAAATGACAATCCAAATAGAATAACCAAAAGATACATAATACTATATATAACTAACTATTTATTTAAACGATTGCACGATGAGATAGCCTCCGGATCATTAAACAATGGTAGTTTATATTACAGTACTTCCTGAAGCTTATTAGTTGCAATTACTAAGATCATTATATTCTTCTACTAGGTAAATTCTTGTTTTTCTTGTATTAAAAACATAAAGTATATTTTGTTTTGTTTTGACTACTTATCCAAGGTAATTGAACTGAAGGGCCTTAACTTGCTTTAGACCTTCTGGGGCAGTTATAAGCGTTAAAAAAAGTTGTTTATGCTCCCAAGTGGTTAGATCCGTCAACATAGTTCAAACAACCCTTGAAATGGAGTGTATCCCCCACAAGGTCGGAAACATAAGCAGTATACCACTGACCTTGGATAATCAGACAAAAAAAGACCTAATTAATACAAACATTTAATCCTAATGGTATTTTAACCGTAGTATTCTAAAAACGTATAACCTACAAATATGAAGTCCAAGCTCTATCCATTAATTTTCTATATTTACCGTTCTATAATCAATGTTAACATAAACAGTAATGAAGGAAATACTTTTGTGTAATATTAGATCATTCGATATGGATTTGTTCTTTTTTTGTAGTTACTTAAGAATTAGCAATAGTGGAAATAAAATAATATGAACTATCATTGTAGGAATTATTTTAAACACTAAAAATTAAATTTGAATTTTTATATTTTTAAATGCCAACTACAAAAGGAAAACACATTAATAAATCAAACAATAAAAATCAAATATTGTAAGTTTTGGGCCTTGCCAAATCAAGATTAATTTATATAAATAAAAAGACACTTACATGAAAGTTGGCGATGTCTCCCTCTGTCCTGAATTAGTCGATGGAAAGTTTCCTTGTTTGCACCTTTAGTGTCACTTTTGTGTCTTTATTGCACTTCACACTGTTGATTCTATGTTCTGTCTCAGCCTATTGGTGGTAAACAAAATTGATCATTATACGTAAATACTAAATTTACTATTTTCAAAAATACAAGCAAAATAGAACACACCATTGTACAGAAAAGTTTCAATTCAGTTGCGAGCTGCTTTAAATATTTTACTTATAAACACTGCAAATATATTGTAAGATACACGTTACATTTTGAGCATTGATAGCCATAAATTAAGTTTGAGTTGAAATTAAATTTAAAAGTGGTTCAATAAAGCATAGAGAATTACAATTTTCTCAGAGAAAGGTTACCAATTGATTGTTTATTAATTTTGATCCACGGTTGTGATTAATGGCAGAAGTTGAAATAAATTAATTAAAATTATTTCTGGGAATAAGCTTATCAAAATCAACTCATAAAGTGTTTATAAAAAGTGGCAATGGTTTGTGTAATATAAAATTTATTTTTGTTCCCTGCTGCAGGGTTGTAGGAAATACAGTTAAACAAGAATATTACCATTAAAAACTATTTATTTGTAGTTATTTGTTAAATAAATTTTCAAATTCTAAACAGATTTAAGTTAAATATTGTTTTAACTACATACAATAATCAATAAAACCTCAATTAAAGTTTAAAACAATACGATATTTATTCATGTAGCTTTAAATGCAGACTTCTTTATTCGTTTCTATTTAATACAGCTTCTATACCAAGATAAGAAGATTATATGCACTTTGTAGAACAATGATATTACATAAACATGTTTCATTTAATTTACAAAACAGTGTTGCATGCCAGCTAATGTAATACTAGATGTGTGCCTGCCATGTGTACTGACCTATATATTACTTAATAGGTTTATTGTGCACAATAAACCTTTGGTAACAATAACAGAAAGGGTGACATAATTAAGTGGAAGGAATTTCTTCATAGTTGATTAATTCATACTATAAGGCAAACATTATTAAATTTTATACTAACATTTTTGGTATTATATTATTTATATAGATGTGGTTATCCTAGGCTAAGCAACCCAGCTGTCTTTATTCGTTGGGATTTCAATATCTGGAAGGGTGTTCGGTCGAAAATTTGATCTAAGATTTTTTGTTATTTTTCAATTGTACTAAACATTAGAGATACAAATATATAAGACATTTTTTTATGTTGAATATTAAGGGATGAATACACCAACAACATGTGTGTATTATGGAGGGGGATGTGTGGTGAATTATGGAGCTTGAAAGTTGTAAATTTGTCGAATTTGGTACCAATTCACAGGGGGGAATGGGTAATGTGATTCTCACCAAAATTTGCGTTCAGGTGTGAAAAATAAGATAATTATCATTAGCTATTTCAAATTAAAGTTTTTTAACTTAGATTTTTTTACAAAATTTTAAAAATACAGTATTGATTTTTTTTATTTTAAAAGTAGCTATTTGTCTTTGAGTAAAATTCATCTATCTGTTGGATTTTTTGAAATGCGAAATGTTAACTTGTTTGGGCTGTGAATTCGTACTTTTGATGCCTTGCGCAGGCAGCGCACTACTCGTTGGGAGTGTGTACACTCACGCCAGGGCTATAGAATACAACGTACAATGTATTCTGTTAATGTTACATGATGTTAATAATTACATAGTGTTAATGTATTCACAGCCAAAACGAGTTAACACATCACATTAAAACAAATCCAACATATAGATGAATTTTACCCAAAGACAAACAGCTATTTTTAAAATTTTATAAAAATACAAAACTTTTAAAGTTAAAAAACTTTTAAAGAAAAAAAAAACTTTAATTTTAAATAGGTAGCTAATGATTATTATCTTATTTTTTCACACCTGAACGCAAATTTTTGTGAGAATCACATTACCCATTCTCCCTGTGAATTGTACAAAAATATGACAAATTTACTACTTTCAAGCTCCATATCTCCCTTAATATCCAACATAAGAAAAATATTTCTTGTATATTTTGTATCCCTAATTTTTTGTATAATTGAACAATAACAAAAAATCCGAGATCAAATTTTCGACCAAACACCCTTAAAGTGCAAAGTCATAAGCGGTCTGTAGTTTTGCGTGCAAAGCTGAAGTTAGCTAAACTCCCACCAGGTCAGGTCGACCTACTTTACTTTCAATGATAAGTTAGCGGCCGCAGTTTATGGTATAGTTTATGACCAACTTTCATGCCTTCTGTTTAGTACTCATCAATCTTATGGGCATCCTTTATATCTGGCGTGAATCGATGGGCGTATTGGCCGTTAACAGTTTAACTATATAGATTTTGTTAAGAGTGTATGACCAGTACGCGTCAGATCACTTAATTAATTAAATCTGTTGTAAATAGCGTATTTAAAACCAAACTATTTATAAATATACGAAACAATATAGGCCTGCAGTATATGTTACTATAGCCAATGGACAATAAGATATTAATATTTTATCACAATCTTTATGTGAACTCCTTACTGCGAAGTTAATACATTTCTTTGGAAGATAAGGTATTTTAAATTGTTTCCTAAAATATTGTGTTTTATATGGTTGTCGAGTTTACGGGCTGTGAATAAACCATCGATGTATTTAGACTATATGCATCGATGGAATAAACAATCGAATAATGTCACACTATCACAAATAATTACCTTTAATAGTTTGTCTAAATATGATTTAAGGACCTTGAATTAAATATATCTTCCCCCGTTTTACCAAATAAAATTATGTTACATTTAAAACATTTGAATTGAAGTTTTTTCTAATATATAATTTATAATTTATTTATATAATTTACTAAATATAATTTATCCAGTTTGATTAGCTAGCTATTCTTTAACCACGGGAAATCTTCAACTGATGAAAGGGATTATGTTTATAATATTACCACACAAACGTTGATATGGAGGTTATAGAGCAATGTGACACACATAACGAGAGATCGTTAACTCGTAAACGAGGACATCGTTAAATATCAGCCAGAGATAAAGCCATTGACCGTTACCGTACTGCGTATCTGTCTGTTCATATTGTCAGGTTGAATTTCCACAAAAGAACACACGCTCATATACTTATTCTTTGTTCCTTGTTTATAAATCAATATTGAAGAGTTTTGAGATGGTTATGTGCTGTATCGTGTTCAGATTTAAATAAGCGTCCACCAAACAGTTGTTGGCTAAGGTTGATTTTTAAAATTTATTTGAGGAAGTAATTTAGAGAAATGTATGATACATTTTATGTTTTACAAATCTAAATATAAAATCTAAATCCATCTATCGAGAAGAGAATAATATGTTTAAATAAGCTATACTTTTGACTAAAATACCTGCACTGAAAATAATGTCTAATAGGTTTTGAAGGTATGATTACTTATATTGAATCAAATATATGTGCCAATGGTAAAAAAAAACTAGGCTAATTGAGTGAAACGGTAACTAAATAATCACTCCTTGATCATTTTTATACTTTCAATAAAAAAAAATACTTACTTTGAAAAAGATATTTTTAAGTTAGATCCTAACTAAAAAATTTTAAATTGGCTTCCTTAACTAAATCTTTTGTAGAAGGTTGTCAGCATAAATTCATCACGAATACTAAAACAAGCCAAATTCGATAAAACTCGACGTGATGAAACGTTGCCAACTTAAGATGAAACTCACGTTTTACGAGTTCGTGTTTTATCATCCCTACTACTCCTCCCGGGCCTTTTGTTTTCAGAATTTCAAGTTAAACACTCTATTCGTCAATCTCAACAATACTGTACTCATGTAGTACTTGAAAAATGGACAAGCTTGTTGGAGAAAATCAGCTTTGGACACAACGAAACCAAAACTACTAAGAATGGTACGGGGAATTTGAATATCGTTTTTTATATAGTGGTGGAGGGGGTGTTAAAAAATAAACAGTTTTCCTCGTCTTATATTTTATGGGTTGGATTAAAGTTTCAGGGGCTCACAACCACCTGCTCGAGGATTTCTCGTATAACTAGAAGCCGTTAGCGATTGACGGGATTTAAAGCTGAAACTTCATAACAAAGTTCCTCGGGCTCTTACCAACAGGAATTCCTCACCAGGATACGGAGTAATCGATGTTTATAACATTAAAATAAAAGTGTAAAGCAAACTGAAAATCAAACATCAAAAAACAAAATCATGAAAAACTGGGAAACCCGAATATTTCATACAAGGATATCAAGTTGTGGTCCCTCCAATTTCTCTTATATGTGTAAGAACTTGAATGGAGGTATAAAAATTTTGAATATGTTTGAATTTCCTCTGGTAAGAAACCGATATTGTTTGTTATTTAAAATAAAAAGAGGGAATTCTCAAGCTACATTTTAGTTGTAACAGCTACTATACCACTTTATAAACAACCAAACTAATTCAGAATAATAGACGGTCAAAACAAAGTAAATTTATCAGCTATATGTCTTTTAAACAAGTTGTTGCCAAACGTTGGGGTTGTACCTCAGCCATAACTGCTCAGTGGTACTAATGAGTCCGTGAGGGCGCGAAGTTGATATACCCTTAACTACAAAACTAGGATCTGTTGTATGAGTACACAAAGACTGTTGGGTTGAGCCTCGTCGAAAAAACTAACAAACAGACTAGCTGGAGTATTAGAGGCGACATGAAAACCCTCTCTGTCGACCTGTTACTGTGCGAGGGATTTAATCTAAGTAATCACATTTCTCTCTCTCTATATACCCCTCTCTATCGCACTTAGATTCTCCAGTATATTTCACTTTGTTTTAAACAGTGTCATAAAACATGTGCACTTCCCATACATATTTTTATTCTGATACTGAAAAGTTCCCTTCTCCATATTCTTTAACGGAAACGTACATCCATTCCATGCCGCTGATATAAACACATTTTCGTAGTTTAAAATGAAAATGGTTCGTATTGGATAAACCAAGCTAAATTCGTAAACAAGTAACTAGACACCATCCACTATACCAAACATGCAGGACATGTTCATACAGGACGTAGAATGCACAACTAGACGTTGTAACTACTGCAGAGTTTTCCAATCACGAGACAAACACT